TAACACATGAATGAACCTCAGGAACATTGGTACGCATGGCGTGCTGCCAAACAACTGACACTTCTGTGATAAACACTGTTTCGCCATTCATAAGTGAACGGCATCACACAACCGTTAAGTGGCATACAACCAACACTGTACACCCACTGCTGTAATGCAACACTGTCTACTCATTCATAAACGCACAGTAGGCTGAGCGAACATGACACCTTACAGGTCAGAAGGTCATCGGTTACCACAAACACAGGAGCTTTGTTGGTACACAGGTGACAATAACAAATGGAGTGGCAGATCACTTACACCTGTATACTGCATAGCAGAGGCGAGTAGTTAGTGTCATGCCTCTAAGACATATGGCTGGTTATATCTGTGTTTACAGAAACAATGTCAGTTAACTATTTCCTTAGCATATACTATTGTGAGGTATGTTGGCAACGGACAACGGTATCCAAAACACAAGACATTGTAGGATATATGTAGGGAAAAAAACTTACCCGTCTCCTTCTGTCCGCCATGTCCTTCCTGACTTTTGCTGCGTGCAGTAAGCGATGTGTGAGGACGGTTTTCCCATGTGGATCGTCACATCGCTCCAGGGCTGTGCTGTACAGGGCTGAAGCCTTGGTCAAGTGTCTGGGCTCCTTTAAGTCTCGTCCTCTCTTAAGGTTCACGTCTCCGAGACTTTTTGTAGCCTCTACTTCCAACAGATTGTTCCTCTCCGCTATCCCTTCTACAAGACTCTTCGTGTAGCCCTCTAAGATGGAATCCATATGGCCAACGTTAGCCCATTTCTTATCCAAGTTTTGAAAAATTTCTGAAGTCCTTGCAACAGAATCAATGCTTGTGTTCTTGGTTGATCCAGCTATGGGCGTTTTCAGCCTGAGTTTCTCGGCGAGTTCGACCCTATGTTGGAGAGACTCGCCTTCCCCCGGGTCCTCACACCGGAGCAGCGCGGCCCTGTACAGGTTCAGGCCCCGCTCCAAGTTCCGCGGAGCTTCGGTCTTGTGGAGTCTTCCTTTCTCCACGTTCAAGTCTCCCAGGCTCTTCAGTACCTCCACTTCCTGCAGCCTGTCCATATCAGACATGGCGGCCAGAAGGGCGCGGCCGTACCCCGTCTCGGCCAGGTCATACCTGTTAGCCGCCACAAACCTCCGGCATTGCACGTCTGCAGGGAGAAGGGTCCCCGCAACACGCAGTATGTTGGACATGGTGATCGGGCTGGTAATGGTACAGAGAACACAAGTCACTAACGAGGTCTGAAAGCGACTTACAGTCGCCACGTAATGCGGAAGTGTTGGCGGGGGAATACCAGGTGCGGTGACGTAATTTTAAGTTTGTCTCTTTCTCGACTTACCTCCGCTACACCAGGTGCAATAAAGTGGAAAGACAAAGCACAAAAACGCCGAAGGGATAGATTATCACCTTAGTCTGTCGTCTAGTGGTCCCACTGGTGTTCAGCAAACCGTCTCTAAGGCTAGTCGGCTGTGCCGTCTGTGTTAATAACAGGAACACTGGTAAGTCCCGACGTGTGAGGGGGATGACCCATGACCCATGACCTCCTGACGTCATTGTGGATACCTGCGGCATCAGGTGTCAGCAGTAAACAAAGGTGTTATTTGTGAAGCAGCGGCTAAAAATACGCGGGACTTTCCAGCACTTTCCAACGCTGTGCTGTTGACGATTGGAAGCAAAGTCCTTCCTTTAAAACTCGACAGGCCAACCTTCGACATTATATGTAATGTTATAAATGTTAATCAGGTATCGTTGGAGACTGGAAGAAAATTTTCATCAGAACAGAATATGGACTGATGCGAGAAAAAGCTGGGGGGGGGGGGCTTGACTGAAGTAGTATTTATTTGCCATTTTGTCGGTCTCGTAACACCATGAAGATACTTACTTACTTATATATATAATAGCTTCTTCATCCCTTACGACAAGACATATAAAAGGCCGTGACTTCTTCCCTCTGGGTCTGTCCTCGGCCAACTTTCTTGCTGATCGCTAGGACAGACGCCAGGTCATCCGACACACGCAAACACTAATTAAATATTCGAAGAGGCAGTGAAAATAAGCTGTCGGAGTCTCCTGCCCCACGGCTGTTACTGATTAATTACTCTCCAAGGCAAACATTACGATATCAGGTGTACATGGAGTTATTGTACGTGTGTGTGCGGGGGGGGGGGCAAAGTAACATTTAGTTTGTTTCTTATTTCGTATAAAGAACGGACGACGAAGAGAACACATTGAGAAGTTGAGTAAAGAACTTTATTTTCCGTCAGGCTCTTTTCAATCCATCATATATTCCATCTATCTTCTGCTATCCTGTATCATTGAAACAAACTCGTTAAATAAATAAGACATATTTCATATTAATATCCAATTTGTTGTGTTGGAAATTACAGTATAAACTTACTTCATAATGACTTCTACCAACACAGATGAACTTTCAAGATAATATCTCATCTTTTAAAGCTTTCATGACAATATGTACATTCCTTTGAACATGAAGTATGTACAACACTGGAAACATCTTGTTAGAATTAGTTACTTTTTTCTCCGTCTTAAAGACAGAAAAGTCGTGCTGTTAAACAGCTGGTCAAATTAATTCTACCATCCTACAAGCAGGCCAGACAAGCTTAATTATAGGGATAACATCCCTGGAGACCCATAAATTCAATGTCACAATGCCCCCTCCCACTCAAATGTATCTTGTATGTTTTGGAAAACATTGTTCATCTTAAAAACTACGAAATGTTCAGCCATTTTCCTGTATTTCACTTGATTGATTTCACTCGAGTCGAAAAGTGAAACAGTTTTTATTTTTACAAAAGTCATTGAAAATGTAGATGTTATCCATAAAATCTAGCTTGCCTGCGGGGTTACCTAATACTAAGGTCTCTCACAGTCTGTTCTAGAACTCCGGTCTGAGACCAGAATCTTCAGGTTGAGTCTATCCTAACATCTGCACAGTTCATTCTGACTACACGTCGTTCGTACCATTACAAGAACATCAAGTCCTTAACAAAATAAATAAATTTTATGACAATCGTAACACATGATTATTATGGCTATCCAATAATTTAAGAACAATAAATATCATACATTTCATCTCTGAACAGCGACCACCAAAAAATGCACATTTCAGTTGGTCTGTAAAGCCTGAGAATTTGGAGGGGAAACTGATTGGGGAGGGGATGTGATTATTTCTGCCTAATCGCAAGTCGTGGTCATAACTCGACTCTGTCGCATTGTTTACAACTCGTCCTGTTGGCGTGAGTCCTCGGCGCTGCCCCGTTTTTTGGAAACGCCGTCGGCAGGCCGTTTTTTGGCGCCGCTCCGTTTTTTGGCGAGTCGTTTTTTGACGAGACGCCGTTTTTTGAAGAACCAGACTGGACTTCTCTCTTCTCGGAGACACCGTTTTTTGGCGCCTCCTCGTTTTTTGCTGCTGGTTTCTCGCTGGCGGGTTCTTCAGACAGGTGTGTGTCTTGGTTCGCCAAGACGCCGTTGACAGGTACGAGGTCGGCGTCGTTCTGAGACGTTTGCCTGTCTTGAGACACTGTGGCGCCTTCCTCCTTGACAAGATGTTTGTCTTGGTTCCCCAAGACGCCGTTGACAGGTACCAGGTCAGCGTCGTTGTTAGTAGTCTGCTTGTCTTGCGGAGTCTTGGCGTCTTCCTCCTGCGGCAGGCCGGTACTGGTAGAATAGTTTATCATTTCTCATAAACGACATCCCGGTTTCACAATACAAAATAGTCCGAATAAGAAAATTTTCACGTAGAAACAGTATCTAATTTGGAAGGACATGAATTTCTCCCGATTACAGAAGAAAAACATTTCTAGAGTGCAACTTTAACGAGGAAGACCGATGATCGATGGAACTTCTTTCACCCATGTAACAGTGGGTGGATCGGGTCAATTAGTGTTGTTTGAACCCCACTGTTACAGCAATGGGAGACGAACAGTTTTGATAAATGTGCTTTGTTTGCTACACCTCTTAACGAGGAGGATCATTGATTTTTTATTTTGATTTGTCAAGTCAAGTCAAAGTTTATTGCGCAACAACTGCATCGGGAAACGTATGGCAAAGGACACTTAATACCTATAAACTATTTCTACCTGCGTACTAATCTAACCTATATGATGGAATACTACAGTTCACATCGTTATGACACGGTTTGTAGCGTTCTTAGTTGTAGCGATTTTTTTTCTTATCCCCACGGAATACACTAGTCATTGCCATCATGGCAAACTGTGGGTCATAATTAATGAACTTAAACTACCAAACCCATGAAGTCAGTTAATTTACCCATTGCTTTTAAAGTAGGTATTCGTGTCTTGTTTGTGCGCTGTGCTATTTTATTTCTCCGTGTCTTCTGGCTGAATTAAATGGAATGAAAACTTAAAACTAGGTGATTTCACTCAGGTTTACTTGACATCAGTATAAGCTATACTAGGACAGTTCAGATTGAGATTTCATTATATTGAAGCACCTGGCATAACGTACATTATTCTGTTACAGAAGTCGTCCAGTACATTATTATACGTTCTTAATTTTTGGGCGCCTCTCCGTGATCACCAATGAGCTCGAGCAGACGAATCAGTCTCAGGGCATTAAGTGTCTTTGCAACATCAGGATGTTCGTCATCCTCACCATGGATACTCCGCCACATCCGCAGAGCCTGTTCTAAATATCTGGCGGCATTTCTGTGATCACCAAGAATCCCACACATGACACCCAAGTTTTGAAGTAACATTGCGATGCCAGGATGTTCAGTGTCCTCGCCATGGATTTTCCGCTTCATCTGTAGTGACTGTTCATGATAGCTGACGGCCTTTCTGTTATCACCAAGGCTCCTCCAGGCGGCACCCAAGTTGTTAAGTGACGCGGCGATGTCAGGATGTTCAGTGTCCTCACCATGGATACTCCGCCACATCTGTAGTGCCTGTTCAAAATAGCTGACGGCTTTTCTGTGATCACCAAGGTGACTCCAGGCGCCACCCAAGTTGCTAAGGGACCCGGCGATGTCAGGATGTTCAGTGTCCTCACCATAAATACTCCGCCACATCTGTAGTGCCTGTTCATGATAGCTGACGGCCTTTCTGTTATCCCCAAGGTCACTCCAGGCGTTGCCCAAGTTGTTAAGTGACTTGGCGATGTCAGGATGTTCAGTGTCCTCACCATGGATACTCCGCCTCATCTGTAGTGCCTGTTCATAATAGCTGATGGCCTTTCTGTGATCACCAAGGTCACTCCAGGCGTTACCCAAGTTGTTCAGTGACTTGGCGATGTTAGGATGTTCAGTGTCCTCACCATGGATACTCCGCCACATCTGTAGTGCCTGTTCATAATAGCTGGCGGCTTTTCTGTGATCACCAAGGTCACTCCAGGCGTTGCCCAAGTTGCTAAGTGACTTGGCGATGTCAGGATGTTCGGTGTCCTCACCATGGATACTCCGCCTCATCTGTAGTGCCTGTTCATGATAGCTGATGGCCTTTCTGTGATCACCAAGGTCACTCCAGTTGTTCAGTGACTTGGCGATGTCAGGATGTTCATTGTCCGTCACCATGGATACTCCGCCACATCTGTAGTGTCTGTTCATAATAGCTGACGGCCTTTCTGTAATCACCAAGGTGAAACCAGGCGTTACCCAAGTTGATAAGTGACGCGGCGATGTCAGGATGTTCAGTGTCCTCACCATGGATACTCCGCCACATCTGTAGTGTCTGTTCATAATAGCTGACGGCCTTTCTGTGATCACCAATGTCTCTCCAGGCACCACCCAAGAGGTTGAGTGACTTGGCGATGTCAGGATGTGCTGTTCCCTCGCCGTATTTAGCAACGGCATCCTGTAGTGCCAGTTCCATGCATGACTTCATCTTTTCGTACTCACACAGACTGCTATATACCTCTGCTTGTAACTTTGGTGAGTTGTCAAACAGAACAGGAGATTCTACTGTCGATAAAGGGATTTTGGAAAGTTGTGGAATAAAGGCCTTTAATGGCATTGCTGTGTAATGGTACCTCATCAGCTGTTTTGTATTTGAGAAGTAAAACACTTTCTTCAACTTCTCCCCCATATCTGTGCCATCAGACATGGACGATAAGGCTGACATGTTCTCCACCTGTCCACGGTTGTTCATGTATGTCCGCAGCCTCAGTTCTGCTGAGATGCTGACCAGCACCATCAAGTGATGCGCGTTTTCAATGTTGATGACTCCGTTCTTGTTCATCTTCTGAATAGTCTCCCATATTGTGGAGGGTTGTATACCACAAAGTAGTGCCCAACACGACACTGCAAGGGTCGAAAATCGATAGATTTCTTTCTTCACATCTAGCAGTCTCGATGTTAGTTCTTCGACTGAAAATGTTTGAACATTTGTTTTTTCATTCATTATGCTCCATGCCTGTACCAAAGATACCACCCTACTTTGTAGTAGCTGAGGCCACACCCCCGAATACACATTGACCAAGTCCTGGTCTCCTGTGATAAAACACACATTCCCCAATATGCTGGCGAGATGGTAGCCCTTGTTTAAAGGGAAATTTAGGTTGTCTTGAATGATCTGGTTTGAGTAACGCAGTAAGTCTTTCAATAAAACCTTCGTCATCTCCCTTGGTGTGTGAATAAGTCCAGCTGTTTCACCCCTGCCCAGTGGAGTCTTGCACGCATGCGGCATGGATCCGTCGAACGCGAACCCGCGCGGCGTTACAGAGTCGTAGAACCAGCTGTTCGGTGGGTCTGTAGAAAAATCATTGAGTGACTTGATCGCCATGGCCGGGAGGATGGTTTCTCCCAGGTTGATGACTTTGAGATGCAGATAATGAGTGAGGTTGCGGAAACATTCGACGTTACTCTCTGTTTCCTCCTCTATCAGGATGGCGAACTCCAGATCTGAGTACGGGGTTACTAACCCTGTGGCCTGTGAACCCAGGCCTATCATGGCGTACTTACAGGGAGGGGGACCCATTACCTCCATACATTCATCTACAAGGTCAGATATGAACGTTTTTCTCTGTTCAGCAATTGTTTTGAACAATGTAAAGATTGCTTCCGCTCTCTGCTTCTCCACTTCTCTTATCTCTGGATAATCGTCATCAAGACTGTAAGGATCGATCTCCTGCTCGGTTTGTTCCATCTCTTTTGCTACATGCTCTCGATCATTATTAAGTTTTGATTGGTGTTTCTCTGAGTCCCCAAAGTCCACTACTTGCTCGATCCCCAGCACGTGCTCAACAAATAACTGACTAACTTGTAGGATTGATTGTTTGATGCCTTCTCTGTCTTCTACATTTGCCCTGACCAGTGCGGCATTACGGAGTGCTGCAGCCTTGGTAAAGTCACTTCCGTCTTTCGACTTCTTTCCTCTTTCCAGGTAGACATCGCTTAACCTGCACAGGGGCTCCGCCTCTTTAATGTATTGGTCTTTTTTCGGTTCTAAGGAATCAACAATTTTATGTTATAAAGACACTTGACTACATATTTACTTATCACTAATATCTCAAGTCGCATGTATAGAAATTAGAAGTCTTCAAACTCATAGTTTTTGTGCTTTTTTTAACACTGTCGAAATTCTATTTATCTAACTTTAGTACGTTGCATATTTTATCACTGAATAAATGCATGGATATATTGTTGTGATACTTTTTCTCTGGGTCATTGTGATTAAGAAATATTAGAATTGCGATATGAATCATACTTTAACATCAAGACATCAAAACAGTGTTTTGACTTTTTTTATGTACGTACGTTTCACATGAACGGCCCTGAGTGCAGCTGCAAAGTGCTTCTCTGCCGTGTCCAGGTCTCCAGTCTGCAGGGCCCTGCAGCCCTTCTGTAACTGTTGTCTGTACACCCTGAAGCAAAGCGATCAGGTAAAACATATTAAACATTTGCTGTATAATCAAAAATAAATGACGTGGTATAGACTTATAAATAAATAATGTAGTACATCAACATTGGTAGAACAAATTTGATGCGTTCATTTTAGATTTCTTTGCGCTGCATAGGAAGGATTTACGAAGTACTTTACCGAGGTGAAGCGTTTGGATATCCTAAATATTGTAATCTTACTTTGAAAGATAGGTGGATTCGTTTTACAAAAGTCAGGAAAACTAGATTGACGTGACGTACCTGGTATTGTCAGCTATAGGGACGGTATGACCTTCAGGAATAGTCGAAGTGACTTTGGTAGGTCCAGTTGGCGGCCAGATGTTTGTGCTTTTGCCTCTCGGGAGCAACTAAAAAGTAACAATTAAAGCAACCTTAACGTTAAGAGATAACAATTGACCGTTTAACAATAGATTCACAACGAGTCTTAGCATCTGAATGAACCTGATGAAATGAGCATGTTGTCAACGGTACTAAAAGTACAAATATTATTTTGGGAAGAAAGCTACACTTACCCGTGTCCTTTATTCGCCATGTCCCTCCTTACTTTTGCTGCGTGCAGTAAGCGATGTGTGAGGACGGTTTTCCCATGTGGATCGTCACATCGCTCCAGGGCTGTGCTGTACAGGGCTGTAGCCTTGGTCAAGTGTCTGGGCTCCTTTAAGTCTCTTCCTCTCTTAAGGTTCACGTCACCGAGACTTTTAATGGACTCTACTTCCAACAAGTTGTTCTCCTCCCCTATTCCTTCTACAAGAACCTTCGTGTAGCCCTCTATGATTGAATCCATATGGCCACCGTTAGCTAGTTTCTTGTCCAAGTTTTGAAAGATTTCTGAAGTCCTTGCAACAGAACCAATGCTTGTGTTCCTGGTTGATCCAGTTATGGGCGTTTTCTGCCTGAGTTTCTCGGCGAGTTTGACCCTATGTTGGAGAGACTCGCCTTCCCCCGGGTCCTCACACCGGAGCAGCGCGGCCCTGTACAGGTTCAGGCCCCGCTCCAAGTTCCGCGGAGCTTCGGTCTTGTGGAGTCTTCCTTTCTCCACGTTCAAGTCTCCCAGGCTCTTCAGTACCTCCACTTCCTGCAGCCTGTCCATATCAGACATGGCGGCCAGAAGGGCGCGGCCGTACCCCGTCTCGGCCAGGTCATACCTGTTAGCCGCCACAAACCTCCGGCATTGCACGTCTGCAGGGAGAAGGGTCCCCGCAACACGCAGTATGTTGGACATGGTGATCGGGCTGGTAATGGTACAGAGAACACAACTCACTAACGAGGTCTGGAAACGACTCTTAGTCGCCACGTAATGCGGAAGTGTCGGCGGGGGAATACCAGGTGCGGTGACGTAATCTTAAGTCTGTCTCTAGTTTGACTTACCTCCGCTACACCGGTGCAAAAAAGTGGGAAGACAAAGCACAAAAACGCCGAAGGGATAGATTTTCGCCTTAGTCTGTCGCCCACGGTGGTCCCACTGATGTTCACTGAACCATCTCTAAGGGAAAGTCGGCCGTATTTTCCTCGTCTGTGTTAATAACAGGGACACTGGTAAGTCCCGACGTGTGAGGGGGAGTCCCCATGACCCATGACCTCCTGACGTCATTGTGAATACCTGCGGCATCAGGTGTCAGCAGGAAACAAGGTGTTATTTGTGAAGCAGCGGCTAAAAATACGCGGGACTTTCCAGCAGTTTCCAACGCTGTGCTGTTGACGATTGGAAGCAAAATCCTTCCTTTAAAACCCGAGGAAGCCGACCTTCCATATCATATGTAATGTTAGAATGTTAATCAGGAATCGTTTGAGACTGGAAGAAAATTTTCATCAGAACAGAATAAGGACTGATGCGAGAAAAAGCTGTGGGGGGGGGGGGCTTGACTTAAGTAGTATTTATTTGCCATTTTGTCGGTCTCGTAACACCGTGAAGATACTTACTTACGTAGCTTCTTCATCCCTTACGACAAGACATATTAAAGGCCGTGACTTTTCCCTTCCATCTGATCTGGGTCTGTCCTCGGCCAACTTTCTTGCTGATCGCCAGGACAGACGCCAGGTCATCCGAAACACGCAAACACTAATTAAATAAGAGGCAGTGAAAACAAGCTGTCAGAGTCTCCTGCCCCACGGCTGTTACTGATTAATTACTCTACAAGGTAAACATTACGATATCAGGTGTAAATAGAGTTATTGTACGTGTGTGTGTGGGGGGGGGCAAAGTAACATTTAGTTTTTATTCTTATTTTGTATAAGAACGGACGACGAAGAGAACACATTGAGAAGTTAAGTAAAGAACTTTATTTTCTTTCCTCTTTTCAATCCATCATACATTCCATCTATCTTCTGCTATCTCTGTATCATTGAAACAAAGTCGTTAAATAAATATGACATATTTCATATTAATATCTCATCTCTTAAAGCTTTCATGACAATATGTACATTCCATTGAACATGCATGAAGTATGTACAACACTGGAAACATCTTGTTACAATTAGTTCCTTTTTCTCCGTCTTTAAGACAGAAAAGTCGTGCTGTTAAACAGCTGGTCAAATTATTTCTAACATCCTAAAAGCAGGCCAGACAAACTTAATTATAGGGATAACATCCATGGAGACCCAAAAATTCAATGTCACAATGCCCCCCCCCCATCAAAAGTAGTTTGCATGTTTTGGAAAACATTGTTCAGCTTAAAAACTACGAAATGTTCAGCCATTTTTTCAGAAACGTCTTGATTTCACTCGAATCGAAAAGTGAAACAGTTTTTTTTTTACAAAAATCATTAAAAATGTAGATGTCATCCATAAAATTCAGCTTGCCTGCGGGGTTACCTAATACTAAGGTCTCTCACAGTCTGTTCCAGAACTCCGGTCTGAGACCAGAATCTTCAGGTTGAGTCTATCCTAACTTCTGCACAGTTCAGTCTGACTACACGTCGTTCGTACCATTACAAGGACATCAAGTCCTTAACAAAATAAATAGATTTTATGAACAGTCGTAGTAACACATGATTATTATGGCTATTCAATAATTTAAGAACAATAAATATCATACATTTCATCTCTGAACAGCGACCACCAAAAAATGCACATTTCAGATGGTCTGTAAAGCCTGAGAGTTTGGAGGGAAAACTGATTGGGGAGGGATGAGATTATTTCTGCCTAATCACAAGTCGTGGTCATAACTCGACTCTGTCGCATTGTTTACAACTCGTCCTGTTGGCGTGAGTCCTCGGCGCTGCCCCGTTTTTTGGAAACGCCGTCGGCAGGCCGTTTTTTGGCGCCGCCCCGTTTTTTGGCGAGCCGTTTTTTGACGAAGCGCCGTTTTTTGAAGAACCGGACTGGACTTCTTTCTTCTCGGAGACACCGTTTTTTGACGCCTCCTCGTTTTTTGCTGCCGGTTTCTCGCGGGCGGTTTCTTCAGACAGGTGTGTGTCTTGGTTTGACAAGACGCTGTTGACAGGTACGAGGTCAGCGTCGCTCTGAGACGTTTTCTGGTCTTGAGGAGCTGTGGCGTCTTCCTCCTTGGAAGGATGTTTGTCTTGGTTCGCCAAGACGCCGTTGACAGGTACCAGGTCAGCGTCGTTGTTAGTAGCCTCCTTGTCCTGAGGAGCCTTGGCGCCTTCCTCCTGCGGCAGGCCGGTTGGCTGGACGTCCTCCGGCACCGCGAAGGAGACGATCCCGCACGGACCCGCCATGTTCCGGCAGAACAGGTCCTTCAGCGTGGCGCTCTTCACCATGCGGAAGCCCGCCTCCCCGCCGAACGTGCTGGGCCGCCACCACTGCGGGCTGCACAGCGGGTTGGACAGCAGCCCCTTGACGGAGAACGGCCCGCCCATCTCGATGATGGTCTCGCTGGTGACGCTGCCGGGAGCAGGCTGCTCCACCATCAGCCCCACGTACAGCTCCACCGCGTCTATATCGCCGTACGCTTCCTCCAGCTGGGCAGCCATCTCCGCGTCTCCACCTGCGGACAGGGAACAGGCAGGTCAGTACAGGTAATGGGCAGGTAACGTACAGGTAATGGGCAGGAAACTTACAGGTAATGTACAGGTAACAGACAGGTGAGTACAGGTAACGGGCAGGTAAAACACAGGTAACGTACAGGTGACGTGCAACTAACGGCACAGGTGAGTACAGGTAACGGGCAGGTAACGGGCAGGTGAGTACAGGTAACGTTAAGGTAACGTACAGCTAATGGCATATATGTAGGTGAGTACATGTAACGTTCTGGTAACGAATTGGTAACGTACAGGTAACGTACAGGTAACGTACAGGTAACGTACAGGTAACGTACAGGTAACGTACAGGTAACGTACAGGTAACGTACAAGTGAGCAAAGCTGGAGTTCGTTACTAGGCTTTATGGGGATATAATTTGCAATAGAATAGCTTTGAATTCCAAATACTATTTTGTTTGGACCTCGGAACTAGAAGGTTTAGTTCTAAACTTCGATCATTCAACATGTAATATGAAAGGCCGATGTGAGAAGTGCCGGTAAGATCTGCCAGAGGGCGCTGCTCACCTGTGAGTTCCAGGAAGGTTTTGTAGGGCGGGATGCCGAAGCGCTTCCGGTACTGGTTCAGCCCCTGCATACGTAAGTTCCGCTCGTGCTTGATGGTTTCCACGGCAACCTTCAGATTGACAGGTCCGATGTTCTTTGGGCCGATCTGTGGTCAGAAATGAGAACATAAGTCACTAAAATGTTTCGGATTGGCGCATCGCAAACAACGAACCGTTTTTAATAGCGCACTAGATTTAACACTTTCTGTTTGAGCAGTTGAAAGTACGACATAGATATTTCAGGCAGATTCTCTTCAACTTAGAGATGATATCATGATTTGAAAACAGCAAAACATTTACGCACTCTAGACGTTAAAGCACCCTAATGTTTTCAATCAGTTGAAAAGAACGTAAAGCGTAGATATCTTAGGCAGATCCTCTTTAGCTCAGCTGCTATTACAATGAATACTTAAGCTTGGCCGTACCTGTCCGGCGATCTGCCTGGACATGGCGTCCACTGTGGTGCCGAATCCGTGCCTGAACACCAGGTCCGTGTTGAAGAGGTAGTCCTTCATGCCGTAGGTGGAGCCGTTGATGTGGAACTGGTCAGGCATGAGCGGGTGCCAGTGGTACAGGTGGTTGAACTCCACAAAGATGCGGTTCTGGTACTGAAACTGGTCCTTAAACAGCAGCTCGGGGTCCCAGAACAGGTCAAAGTTGTAGCCGCTCAGGTGCTGAACGTACTCGTTAATGATGATGTTGATGGTCTGACCTGGGGGCAGAGGGCAAGGGTGAAAGGTTAGGGTCAGGTGTCAAAGGTTGAGATATAAAGTATCCACGTACTCGTTAATGATGATGTTGATGGTCTCACCTGTGGTGGGGAGGAGGAGTCAAAGGTGAAGGGTTAGGTCAAAGGTTCTGGTCAAAGTTCAGAGAACATCGAAGAGCATCAAGATCAACAGGAATCTTGTCAATCTAAACCAGTACTTCAGAACTTTATAGATATTTTTTTATAGAAATATGACCCTTAAATTTCTTGTGATTGGATCTTAGGTTTTTTTCTTTAAAGGATTTTAAGATTGATGTATTATGGGTAAGGATTAGTCATTTTAGGTTCAAATTATCAGAACATTAAAGAAAATCACCAAGAACCTGGTCAATCCAATCCTATACACATACAGGAATTCCGTTTGAGTTCTCACAAGAATAGAAAGACAAGGATCTTATGATTTTCCTTGGTAAGATCTCAAGACGTGCGTCTCACCGGTAAGAATGAGCCTGGCGGTCTGGAAGAGCCTCTCGTCGTCCCAGTCGGGGTGCAGCTCCTTCATGACGTCACACACGCGGTTGTGCTCGCGAAGCCAGACGGTGGAGAACACGAACAGACCCGGCAGCAGCCCGAAAAACTCGTGCCCGATCGCGAACCTGCAGGGGGACAAAAACACGGAAAAATCATGAGGATGAGATACCTTTATTGTACATTCATGCCACGACGGGCTAGGTACAGGTCAAGACTTAGCAGCAGCCCGAAAAACTCGTGCCCGATCGTGAACCTGCAGGCGGAAGAATTAATGAATCATTAATGAATCTCTATTCAACTTGCAGACTTTTCTTTATATATTCCAACATTTCCCAAGAAGAAGTGGATTTCACAAGGGCACACGATCCGTGGCATGTCAGGACTCGAACCCGGGACCTCTTGGTTCAGAGTCGAGCACTCTGCCGCTACGCCACACGACCCCGTTTTTACTCTAAACATATTCTACCAACACTGTTTGTTTACTGCTTGTTTTGCACTCACAAAATAAATGAAATATAACAATTGAAGTTAAGTAGACATGCATGGGGGGGGGGGGGGGCAAAACCTGGTGGTTTATCTTGGGCCCTTCCCAATACTATAGGATTAAAAATTTCCATTGATACTGAATGAAACAATATTTAAACGAAGAAGAAAAAAAAAACAGGAAATAAACAGAAACATTTCGAAGAACAAATGGAACAATACAAATCATCTATCTGAACAAATAAAGAAGGATCAAACTAATTAATCCACTTGAACACGGACGAACTTCCATGATAAAACAAACCTACCGTTTCTGCTCGGGCACGTATGGCGGGTAGATCATGTGTACCGGTGCGTCGGCCAGACTAGGCGGGTACACCTCGCCGCCAACCCGCTGGAACTTCAGCTTCCCGTCGGTGAAAGACCGGAGCTGGTGCTGCCGCTCCACGTTCTCTCCGTAAATATGGCTCAGGTCAACCTGCGGAGGGGGGAGGGGGGCGTTAGCGTTTCTACATCACCGGACTGTGGCTTATCAAGCTTACTGGTGTAATTAAGGACGAAAATTTAAAAGAGCCAAGATCTACGAGTGTAAAACAACTGTATGAAAAAGGGTCACAAAATGCTTGGTCAATGGAGAAAGAGAGAGAGAGAGAGAGAGAGAGAGACAGACAGAGAGAGAGAAACTTTTGAAAGAAAGATAGAAATTATTACTATAGTTGGCCTGAAAAAAGCAATTCGAAATGTGAGAAGATTAGGGATGGCAGCGCAACTTGAAGAAGAAGAGAAGGAAGGAAAGAAGTCAGGAAGGAGAAGAACCTACCCCGTGGTCGCCCCATGTGCGTCCCGCTCCCTTCTTGAAATCCGTCTTGAAGAACTGGTGAGTAAAGTGCTGCGCCATGAAGTTGAAGAGGACGTTTGTTCTGCGCTTGTCGGGGATGAACTCTCTCCGCGCCAGGAAGGTCTGCGCGATGTACTCGGGGGAGGGGAGGTCCTTCCGTCCGGCGGTGCCCATGGGGGTGGGGCAGCCCGGGGGGACGGGGGGCAGCGCCCGGGTGTAGTAGGAACGGTCCGCGTAGGTGTCCCAGCTGGTGTAGTCGTGCCCTGTGTGGTACAGGGGAGGGCTGTCGACTGTGGAGGACCGGACTGCGGAGGTGAACAAACAAACAAACACGTCAGTAAACATGTAAACAAGCATGTAAACAGTGAGTAAACATGTCAACAAACAAATATGTGATGGAAACATTAAACTTTACAGCAGGCTAAAAAAGCCATTTTCGTTTAAAACAAATAAATACTAGTATATTTGCGTCTGAGAGTTGCAGTTTTCACCCCACCGCTAGAGGTCGCCTTACTTTTGTAAACGGCCCTCATGATGAAGTTGCTGAGGAAGGGAACCTTGTTGATGACGTCCCAGAGCCACTTGTAGTTGGTCAGCAGGTGGTGAGTCGTCTTCTTACTGGGCTTCAGCGCGACTTTCACGGCAGTCCAGAACTCCGCTGGAACGAAAAATGCAGTAACGTTAGTGTTGTAATAATGATTACAGCCGCTAGGCGTCGTTACTGATCCATGCTAGCTTCAGCGCGACTTTCACGGCAGTCCAGAACTCCGCTGGGAGGAAAAATGCAGAAACGTTAGTGTTGTACTTATCATTACAGACGCTAGGCGTCGCTACTGATCCATGTTAGCTTCAGAACAACTTTTACAGCAGTCCAGAACTCCGCTGGGAGGAAAAAATGCAGAAACGTTAGTGTTGTACTTATCATTACAGCCGCTAGGTGTCGTTACTGATCCATGTTAGCTTCACTGCGACTTTGATGGACGTGCAGAACGGGAGAAGTGGAAACTGTTATTGTTGCACTAAGTATTACCGGCGCTAGATGTCACTACCGATCCACGTTTGCGCTACTCCAGTCCAGTTCGTAAACTGTCTTGTTGTTTTGTTTTGTGGGGAATTTAGTCACAAACTCCTGACCAGAAAAATCCTAACGTCAACAAACGACAGGTGAGTTTACCTGTCCTGCTCACCTGGCGTGGTTCCAGGTGCCACAGGTTACCTGTGGACCAGAAGTTCCGCCTGTATTTACACCTGAGGTAAGGTGTTTACCTTCGCGTGGTGGTTCAGGTAACGGTCACGGTAGCGACACTGATACCTGTTAAACCTCTTATAAAAATTCCTGAGGGTCGGATTGGGATTCTAGAAATACCGTAAACACAACAAGTAGACCGGAAACCCCCCGCATGTGCTCCGTAAGCTGAAAATCTTTCCTCTTAAAATTCTGCCGGTATCTTGAATTTCACAGTCCGGATGTTCTTACAGAAAAACTGTTAGCCATGGTATTACTATTTAAAGCGAACTAGTATGGCTTTCAAACATTTTGATTTGATTTGATTTTATATAGACAATACTCATTTTGTTGTGTTAAGTGCCTTTCCAAAGGGCACAAGATCGGTGGCATGTCAGGACTCAAACCCGGGACCTCTTGGTTCCGAGTCGAGCACTCTGCCGTTGCGCCACACGACCGCACACATGTTTAGAAAACAGAAGTCTTTGTGGCGTTTCTATTGCTCAATACTGAAGCTACTTTGTACAAAACTTTGTTGAGTTGAAGAAGTTGAGGTTTTTACTCACGTATGTCGCAGTTCTGTCCGTAGTATCCGGTCCGGGTGCAGTCACAGGTGTAGGAGTCGCCTTCTCTCATGCACACGCCCATGTTTTGGCACGGCATAGAGCAGCAAGGGTTTTCTGTCGGGTAGAAACATGGACATGTTGGGATCTGCTGATTTTAAACTCCAAAGGCCTCCAAACACCCATCCCTAAGCAGACTCAAACCTCTAATCCTTCCCCATACATACTGAAATGTTCTGGCACGCCAAAAAGCACCTACTGATTCTTACTAAGGAGAAAACATAGTCTCATCATCTCAATAGTTAGTCTGGAGTCCAGCCTTGTTAGCTTTGGTCCGCTCCCCAAGATCCGCTACCTGGGCAGCGGACCAAAGCTAACCAGGCTGGACTCCAGGCTACTTACTAAACTAAAACGCCAGTCCAGACCCAAGCCCCTATTGAAATAATTATCCCTCATACAGACATCTTGTTTCTGGCACGGCAAAGCGCCTTGAGCAAAAGGGTCGTTTCACAAGATAAGAACATACACAGGTCAGCACACACCTGCATGTAGTTACCGCTTATCAATGCTCACAGGAATGTGTCAAGATCGTGTATCTAAAGTACGACATTATACGTCCTGGCGAAACTTCAAAACAATATCTCAAACTCAAAAACAACCTCTCTCTCTCTATCTATCAGTCAATCTGAAAAGACTCATAGTGACCAACTGCTTAAAACAAACAGGATGGCTCATTCCTAGTAACAAGACAAATCAGATTTGAGCTTTAAGTCACCTTACAAAAATAAATGTCCAAAGTCATTAAAAAACAATAGACCCTAGACAAGAACAAGCATATTTCGTAGTTCTTAATTCAGAATCTGTAACGACTGTACGTAGATATAAAAAGAAGAACATTGAAATGTGTTAAAGACATCCAATGCGATTTCAGCCAAGGGCCCTTCCAGTAACCATTTTCTGTCCGAATTTTGTGTATTTTTGCTCCATGAGGGTCAATATACGCCCTTATTTTAATTCACTATCTAGATAAATGACTAGAATATTGACTTGAAAAAACTGGTTTCCAAGCCCTAAAACTGCACTAGATGCCTTCAAATGACTGTCCGAATGTGACTTGTGTTCAGCCTTGTTTAATTCAAATGCTAATAACGAGAACCACGCGTAACCCCCTCGCGACCCTTGCGCAATCTGTCCTCTCCACGCGTAACCCCCTCGCGACCCTTGCGCAATCTGTCCTCTCCACTCAAGAGCTTTTCGCAATATTTGAATCCGCCATGACGAAAATAGAAGTGGTGGACAAACAGGGATGACATTTCCGACATTTGCTCAACCCTGCTGAATTTTCATGGACTCTCCACGTCCTTTTCAGTTTTTCCTGACTTTGTTTGTCTCCCACAAACACGTTTCTCACATCGGCAAACTTTTCTCGCAGGGAAACAGACACAAACATCACTTGACATTCATGTCAAACACTTGGCAGCGGCGCTGGTCTTACTCAGCTGTTAGCCTCTACCAGGCTTCGGGAGGCGGCTGGAAAGAGTAGAAATCGGCCAAATAGAGAGATAACATGCCAGGAGAGTTGGTCCGCTGGAGAGTACAGTTTGGCGCTTAAACTGTTCTCTCTTCGACCAAACTCCCCTGGCATGTCATCTCTCTATTTGCCCGATTTCTACTCTTTCCAACCGCCTCCCGAAGCCTGGTAGAGGCTACTCAGCTGCCGCGCGGAGTCAAAATAACACAATTCTGTCAGTGGCAATTTTCTGACTAATTACACCAAACCACAGGAGGAATTTATCTTTCTATCAGACGCTGTACCCTAGGTTGTTGGACGGGTGAGGTTTAGATCAGAGCGGTTCGCATTGTTTCTGTTAAACCGCGGTTTTATCGGTCTCGCTATCTCACATGCCCGGAGCTACACCCGTGGTTACCTAGGTAACGCCTGACGTTTTCTCCTTACAGAACTAACCTTTCTTTAAATAGCACGGGGAAGAAGACGTCAAGACAGTTTTCTTAAAGGCATTCAATGCGAGCTCAGAGAAGCAAAACTGAAAATATTCTGAATAAGGCAATCTTTATGATACTGACACATACTGTCCCACATTAGCACATTTCAATCAGAATTTCATACTTCGGGTATTTCAAACTGCAGAAACAACCCCAGAGATGAGTCCTTCATTTTCTGGGTGGTACCCTAAAATCAGCTGAGGGCCCTTCCAGTAACCATTTTCGGTCAGGATTTTGGGTATTTTTGCTCCATGTGGGTCAATATACACTGGGACAGTGTGGTTTCAATTCAGTATGTAGATAAGTGACTAATAAGTCGGGTTTCCAAGCCCTGAAAACTGCACTGGATGTCTTTAAAGCGAGAGGAAAGGGAAAGTTTCTTACCTGCAACAATCAGTGCGGGAAGCAGCATCAGGCAAAGGGTCATCATTGCACCTGTGGGGACAAACCGAGACATAAAATGTTAAATGTGAGTGTCTCAACGGGTTTACCGTACAAAGTGTACAAGCAGCTGCTATTTCTGTTTCTGGACTCTAAATCGGGTTTCAAAAGTTTCTTTTGTTGAAACCCATGTTTGAACTTATGCTTAACTGTATTGTTGTCTAAACATAGTCCGTTTGAAGTGCCTGTGTAAACCTATAGTTAGTCTCTACCAGACTAACTACGCCAGCTATATATATATATATGAAGGAGAATATTGCCAGGGGAGTTTGGCCGCCTTGTAGGTTTGACAGGCCGCACAGGGAAGGAAAGAAACTACCTCCCCGCGGCCGGACTCCCTTGGCCAAATTTACTCTCTTTTTTGCCGAATTCTACGATCCGTATTCCCGTGGAAAGGCCTGGTGGAGGCTAGTGTAAACCGCAGATAGCGCATAACTGCCGGACCCTGCGGCTGGCCGCTTTGTGTCTGGCCGGAGTGTTGCCGGTGGCTTGTCGGCTCCATGGAGAGCGCATTGCCGCGGGGCTAGCGTCCAGTCCCCGGCAACTCGGGCCGTTCAGGGGGCATGCATGGGGGGGTCCCGACAACGCTCTACGCTAAATTACTAGTATGAGAACCGGCTACGCTTCAGAAGCGATCACGCTTTACGATAAATTCCAAGTGGCTACAACGCATTACAACGCGAATTACGCTCTACGTTGAGCGGTCCGTCTACGCTCTACGTAGAATTGTTTAAAACGGCCGATTACGCTCTACGGAAAAAGGCATGCGGAGCCTGCAGGCACCTAACCACAGCCGGCTACACCCCACACATTACCAGTGAAAGAACAGTTTGCTTTAGCCCGCCCCTTTTCAGTCAAGAATGTGCGGAATGGAGAAAAAAAAACAGTTCGAAAACTCACCGTTCATTTTTGGAGACAAAAATTCCAGCGGTTGGTTTTCACAGAAAACACTGGTCAGAAAAGTCGTTGTTTGTCACAACCAAGGATCTGTCGGTCCAATTCTGGTCAGAACTCGCCTGGAGTCGTCTGCAAATGGCGGGAAAAGGTCTCTGAGGTAGCGTCTTCCCTTCTGTCGTCTGCGTTCTGAGGAACTCGGGCCGGGCGCGCGGTTTTTAAGGGCGCGCGTTGCTAGGGCGTGACGTCACGCTGTTTGGCTGCGGACGCTCGCGCCACGCCGATGACGTCACGGCCCGCAGCCGAGGTGGAATGTCGATCGGCAGGTTCCGGCGGCGCGCGTCGGAAGTGCTCGGGACCAATCGGCGGGCTTCGGAAGCGGTCGGATGACTGGCTGACCGTTCGGTTGATCTGGGATTTTTATTTTGCGGAGGAGTCGGAAAAGGCTTCGCCACGAGACAAACTCACGCCTCTGGCTGAGTTTACTAACACAGACATGACAACAAACGGGACTGGGAAACGTTTAAGTGCGTTAGAAATGTGATAATCTGTTTGAATTGGACAAGAATCGGAAACACAAATATGCTGTGAAGCCATGACATGACATGACGAAATACAGTGAACTTTGAATATAAAATTGTGTGTTTAAACCACACCTAATTATAAATAGCACGTTTGCTGTACTGTTGGAAGTTTCGCAGATTAATTTTTAAAAGTTAATGATAGGTCTGTATCAGAGAATGTCAAAACTGCTGCGTAGTCATGACATGACGAAATGCAATCAACTTTAAATATCAAAATTGTGTATTTAAACCACACCTAAATAGCAAGTTTGCTGTACTGTTACTGTTAGAAGGTTTTGTAGGTTACGTTTTAAAACATCCCCATGTTTGCCTAATTTTGCTATCAATAATTTAGATTTTCACACGTTGAATTATTGACTTTTTTTATTTTTAGAATCGACCCTCTTGTACTTCATATTCTATGAAATACCTACTATTCCATGTACTTCTCAAACATTTCTGCCCACCCAGTATATATATGTTTAATCTCCAAGCAGATCCCTTTCGGTGACAAGACAGTATCCATTAGCCAGAGAAGGTCGCTGGCCACCGACGGGTGGGGGTAGCGACAAAAAAAAAAACGGCCATATATAAAAAGCTAACGATCATTCCCCCACAACCTCTGCTTGGAGAGTAGGTATATCTGCTGTATGTTGTAGTGACACGTTTAGCTCAGTGCTAGCCTGCACGTAAGCACCACACCCGCTGCCTATTGTTACACTGTAACGGTGACGTACTTTCTACTGTTTCTGTTGTAAGACTATATGATAACGTGCAAGTCAGTACCACACACTCACACCTGAACACACCCATCATTAAATCTTACTAACACTTCTCTCATACAGTCTATGGTTACAGCAATGTTTGTGTGAGTTTATACTATTTCTGTTGCATGATGTAATATTATATGACAACACACTCACACCCAAACACACACCCTCCTCACACCCATCATTAAAGCTTCATGATCTTTCTCATACATGCAGTCTATGCCTAGCCTCCTTCGCAGTCTTGTTGGGCGTCGGCGTAATTTTTTCTCTGAGCGACGAGAGTAATATGCGGCCGCGAGGTTTCGCGCTCCAACAGCGAAACCTTCTCTCCGTGGCAAAAAGTCCCTAGTCTATGCCTCTCTCTATGGTCACAGTGATGCTGACGTGAGTTCCTACTACTTCTCTTATATGACGTATAAAAGATTATATGATAACACCCAGC